TAGACATAGCGGAATTCCAGAAGCCGATCTTGCGTATATGTGAATGGGGCTTTAGGTATCGTGGCGTGGCCTGGCGGCAACAGCGTACCTCGAATTCCGGACGTGGAGGAGACAACGAACGCGCGCCGGAAAGTAATCACGCATACAGCAGCCGGGTACAGAGGCCGATCGATTAGCCTGTATCCGCGCCTGCTGCCGCGCACCGCAACTACGTGACAAATATTATCGCGATCGACCGACCAGCTGCGTTTGATGTGGACGCGTTTATGAAATGCCGACACGCCGATAATCATGCGCGGCCAGCGCCCAAGGCTAAATCCGATTTGCAATATTAAGCCGCCCCCGCCACCCCGTGCCACCCTGATAAACGAGTCCGCGTTTTTCGGCCCTCTCCTAATTAATCCGCTCGATTGAGCCCTTCGTGGGCTTTCAGACATCTAACGTGCGGAAGATAGGTAGGTAACTCAGAGGAACCGGGTACTGATGGAATGAACCTTGGTTAAAGACATGTGCAAAGTGAAACGAGGAAGAAATTTGAGAATTTAGTTAAATTGTGAAGATGTATAATTGCGTAAGAATTACGTGGATGGTGTTAAGCAATAAAATCGAGTTAGCGACACGTGACAAGGCGATATAAAATGCGCGCAATAAATATGACGGTACGCAAGCATTACGGTGAAGACAGATGCTTCAGGGTCTGTTTAGAGCGAACGATAAACATTGCATAAGAGGATTTCTTTGAAGAAGTTCCAGAAGAGCGAATACGTTTTCTAAAGAGAAGGTAGTTGAATTACCGTTTAACATTTAACATCAGGCATCACCGGTCGGCAACAAAAACCGTGGCTCCGAATAGAGAGACACTCGAGCTTAATGGAAGCGCGGAGCATCATCGAAGTTCACGCAAAGGCAACATTCAATGCGACGTTATCACCGTCGATTTCAATTAATCGTTCCGGCCAAAGTGAATAGATAGCAAAGAGGTCAGCCCTTTTTTCCCGTTCGATAATCAAAGATCCAATGATGCCGCGAGTCTAATGGCACGTTACAAGCGATGAAGATCCGCCTCGTGATCTTCGTTTTCGCGCACGGTCCTCCGGTGAAATTCACCAAATGGATTGCGGTGCTTCGATTTAACGGAGCGTAGAACCGTTCGATTCACGATGGACCCCCAAAGCGTCCTTCCCCCAGAAAAGTCTGTGAAATATGTTCGAGGAAACATCGATGCTCGGAGCGCTGATCTTTCGCTCCAGTTGCGGAAAAAACCGGCTCTTTCCATCCCGCGCAAATTGGAGCACCGATAAACCGCCGTCTCGCTCGATCATCCCCTTTACTAGCGAACGTTTATTCCTGTAACTGCCAGACATGTGCAACCCTCGCGTTTTATGACTTTCGTGACTCGTTAAAACGTGATAAATTACTTGCTTGATAAGAAACCTTAAGAGAATTCTGCTTCACCAAATCACTGTGATTAACCAATAACGAAATATGGGGGTAAGTCGATAATTGCTTCGTGTGATTATATATTGTGTGGCAACTTGTTCCATTACACATGAGGTTCTTATACAATGTTTTATCCTTCGGTACTTTGAACCTTAGTCTATCTGAGTGATGCATACATTTGCAAGTAGTTTGGTAAGACTGGGCCCATAAGCAAGTGGTCAAACCTGGTCTATAGTTAGACAAGTGGTTAGACCCGGCCCACAGGCAAGTAGTCAAACCTGGCCCATAGTTAGACAAGTGGTTAGACCCGGCCCATAGGTAAGTAGTCAGACCCAGCCCACAGGCAAGCGGTCAGACCCGACCCAGACCAGTAACAGAGAAATGACAAAGATAATAGACAACCTTTTTCCCTAGTAACTTCCTTAGCACTCACCCACTGTACTTATAATGTAAACGCAGTCCTAGGATCCTCTGAGAAGTCAAGGAAAGACCAGCCAGCTGAAAGACGGGTCATAGGTAGACAAGAAGTGTAACAGAAGTCATGCAATTTACTTATAGACATGAATAGGTGACTTCCAAATTGTACATCCACTGGACAGTTGAACACATACTGAAAGTTCTGAAGAGATTTGGGCCTCATATTTTGAGAACAAGAACACGGGACAACTGCAGATGCTCTTTGATGCAAACGTGAAGTAGGGCGGTCATTGTTAATACCATAGAGTGATTCTCTCGCTAGTGACTCGAAAGGAAGTGCCGTTAAACATACCGCTCTACTGCTCCTCGCCAGCCATAGAAGATCGACATTGTCCTGTGACAGCAAAGACGATTGAATCGTGTATGGGAGAAAAGGAAGAACGGTCTGGTACATTTGGTTACACTTCCTTTTGCGAGAAAATCACCTTGTAGAGCTAACCTGGCGTGCTGGAACCTGTACAACTGGAATAGGAAGAAAACTGCAAATACTGGTGCGTGGACGCTTAATGGTACAGGCAGTCCTAAGAATATAACTGTATAGTAATCTACCCTCGTGGCATCATAAGACTTCCCTAAGAAAAATGGTACCTTTGTCGAGATTACAAAGTTTAATTTTTAAGTTCGACTTCTAATTTACAAATTGAGAACTGTGGACAATGAGGAATTAAAGAGATTTGGGATTCGAATCTGATCATTTAACCCTCAGCACTCAAAGGCGCTTAGCATTTCAAATGTGACCCTAAAGGAAACAGTCGAGTGCAAAGGGTTAAGTTTATACATTTAATCTCTAGAACCAGAGATAGTTGAACTGTTTGTACGTGTACTGGATCGTATCCAAAGGAAGCCTACGCTGTACACGGATGTGACTTTCACACTTGATAGCACCTAGTACATCATTGCGATGTGGACTGCTCCTCGGTCTGTCCATATATACCCACCGATGCGGTCATCTATAGACTCTACTAATCGGTCCCCAACGTTACACGATTCATAGTCATCCACGCAACACAATTGCGTGATCCCCCTTAATTGACAAGTGTGAAAGTCACTATAGTTCACCCGCCACGAGCTTTGGCAGGATACCAATCGCCACCCCGATTGGTTACAGTAATCGTTTACGAAATAATCGATTACAGTCGGATCAAAAGAAAGTATACTTGCCGTTCTGAATTCGTAGAATGCCTTCCCAGAAGGAATCGTGGCACTCGGCGATTCCTGCTTTGCCCGAAGAGATACACGTTAAAGTATATAGCTGTAAAATAGGTCATCGATTCAGGTTAATTTTCCGATTCCGAAACACATCCCCGCGAATCCGCGATTCCCGAGGGTGGCGTGTGCGCGAGCGAGGGAGTCGGGGCGAAAGAAGGAGCTCCCCGAGCACATACCTGGTAACGTAACGGAGAAGGGCAACGCGTGGACGTCCTCGAACGAGGTGACTGTACATCCGACGCTAGATACTGTCTCCGTCCCGCTTGCGAACACCCCCTCTCTCCCGCGGCGTGTCGTCGTTGCTCGTGTCTTCTCCTCTCTCTCTCTTTCGCCGTCTCTTTCCGTTACGGTGGCGCGCGCTCGCCCATATTCTCGTTCTCTCGCTCTATCCG